TATAATATATATATATATATATATATATATATATATAATTGTGCTGTCATCGAACATGAAAGGAATTGCATATTTTGGGATAGAGGAATACGCCAGATTAATATCAGTATATGTCATTAATTAGTACAAAAAGTGATCGATCAACAGAGATAAGAGAGGTCATTGTACACAAAAGATGGATTGCGGAATGAAAGTATAAGTGATCACCGATAGTGCTAATACGAAAGCGTTTCATTCACAGTCACTTTCACCTCATTTAAGAACCGACGTCAGTTTCGCTCACCATTTTCTCTATTTCTTGAATGTGTTGGTTTCTCGCCCCTTTTTCACTTCCTATCTTTTCGTTGTTGAAGTTCTGCCATATGAAAACTCCACGGATGTTATCCCTTGGCACATTATCATATATTTTTGATCTCTCGGATTGATTTTTCAAAGATCTTCAAAAAAAAGAAAAAACTCTAAATAGAATGGTCAAGTTCGCTGTAAATTGTTGTGAAATTCAGCTTCATCTCATATGTTTAAATTTGCCGCTTGAAATGTGTTTGCCATCACGCATCATCCAATGGTACGTTAGGAATGTCACTATCACTTGTTTAGTAAGAAGTGATTTATTGAATGAATGAATGGAACTTCATTTTCGTACAGTTTTTCTTCCTTATTATCAATCGTTTTTCCCTGATAAAAAATAAATAAAAAAGAGCAGGGTATAGTTGCGGTTGACATTAGCGTGATTTCCGTTGCGACCCATCAACCATAAGTTTATCTTTTATGAATGTACAATACATACGATTAGTATTTATTTATATTTCTTAAATCAGAAAGGTAATTAGGCATTTCACATTTAAAGTGTGGGAGTGTCTGGTATACTTCAAGTTGATTTTGTAATAAGAATAACATATTATTTTGTATGGCTTTGTTTTAACTTACATCTCATTTATTTCATGAGGGACGATTCTTAATATTTTGATTACCGAAGTCGAAGTGGGAGCAATTTATCCACTTCCACCAATGTTTAAAGATTGTTTCATTTCCACTTTCTGCTTGACTGTTTGTTTACCTTACTGTAATCGGCAAGGTCAAGTTAATAGAAACTTAATTGAGCTTTCCCGAAAATTGTATGAGGAAGTGTGCGGTCCCGAGACGACTAGTACAATGTTCATCAACAACTTTTTGAGTTTATTAGAAATCTTGAGATAAATTAAAACTTTGTGAGCTCTATATTAAAGTTATTTATACATGTATTAACTTTGAGCACCTCTCTTTTATTTCTGCCTTTTCCCAGCTTTGAAACCATGAGGATTAGAAGCTATACAATCTCAAATAAATTTAAAGCAGGCTGTCATGTTGCCTTTACGAGAAAAGCGATAAATGTTAGGCTGAAGAATGTCCAGATACTCTGTCCATTAGCTTCAGTAATCGTTACTTGAAAAGGAGATAGTTTTTTGCTTGGTACTGTACCAGTCATCTAGTTTAAAATAAAATTTGTGATAGGAAGTAAAATTGTGAGCGAAAAGTCTTTCTTATAATTACCAAAACATTAAAAGGGTCTAGATGCCTAGGACTGATGTACCTTATTAGTTTTAGTTCTTAAACCATTATTGATTACATAGTAATTGTACTATCAAAGCTGAATACAAATATGGAACTTCGTTGCGCATTAGTTGCCCTTTCGTCTTTGTTTTTTAAAGACTAAGCGAATAAAAAGCCAATGAAAGCAGCATTTATCCCGCTTTTAAGAAAAATTTTTTCGGAGATTCGCCTCTCCTATTCAAATAAAATTTGTTTCTCTGCATTTGATCCACAAATTTAATATTCGTCTTTGTCGACATTGCTGAACAGTTCGGGGACTGAACCAATATCAACCAGAATTGGAAGGAACTGCTTTCATTTATCTTTAAACTACAGTGTTTAAAAATACTTGTATTTTTAGAAAGCACTTTGTACTTCGAAATTTCTAAATACCTTTCAGATTTAAGCTGATTTGAATGTTTATCGCTCAGCCCCTACGAAATTTTCGAATCTTTTTTCTTTTATGAAATTTAAAATTCCAGTATTGAACAACTTTGTTGGTATTTTCTTTAAATCTATTTGTTAAACTAAAAAATTTTGAAGGAAGAGATAAACAGCAATTCTTCTTTTAACTATGCCATTTTACGACGCCGTAAGTGGTACAGAGAGTCAATGAATTGTAGAATTCTAGATAAATTCATTTCGAAAACAAAATTTACATTCGATGATATCTTGAGTCGAATTTCCTTAGTATCTCGGTTACATTTGGTTGTTTAAGCAAGCCTTGAAGATGCTCCTGCGAAATGATTTAGCGAAGCCAGATGACCTAAAGCATCTCCGCTGACTTGTCAACGAGTGAATAAACACCTATTTCATTAAACGTCATCCGTACCTCTCTTATTAGTCCAATTGCCTTACTGATGTATTTTCCCAACATGTTAACTGTATAGGAGAGCATGATTGGTCCTTCTATCAAATCTGAATATTACCAAAGAAAGGATTTCATACCTAAAGCAACTTATTTTAGATTTCAAATGTTAATGGCACGTTTTAACGAAGCGCAAATGAATGGCAACTATGCATCTAGCAACACACCAACTACGTCACAGCGTATTGGACGATCCTCGCGACGACCACAACTGCCACAAAAACCTCAGTTAACTCCAAGATGTGAGTTTAGAATAGCATAAAATGAGAAAGGAAGGGCTGTCCATGGTTCTTCTCAAGAAATCTCGAAAGAAGAACTGATTAGAAGAATGGATCCCGCAATTAAACCTTAGGAATATTAAGTCCGGACTCACCGATTGCAATGATTAATTAATTCAACCAACCCTCCCCACTCCCAATCACTCAACTTTGGTTCTACAACGACCTACTCCCATCCGGTTTTCCTTTCAGGACCACTCCATTTTTAAATTTGCGCGCCCAATTATCTCATAAAGGCGGTAAAATTTAATTTGCTGCATGATGTTTGCATATGTGGAAGGTTGGGTGTTACCTTGGTCTAGTGGTGGCCGAACTAGCGACCATTTATGAGTCTAAGAATGATCTGAACGATTCCTGAGGAAATGAGTGCAAGTTATCGAAGTCTTTGTTAGAATGAAATCTCTTCAGGGCTGTTTCCATTTCGATGACTTCTTTTCAGATTTTTTCATTTCTGAATTGTGTTGATGAGCAGTATGCAAAATGCTTCGTAATGTTCCAAATGATGATAAGAAGTAGTGTTAATTTCGGGTAGTATACAGGTTGATAAGATTAGAAATTTCTTCCAATTAGTGTGACACCAATACAGGAGAGGTAATAGGGATGAATTAGTATGGGAGAGAATTTGGTTAGGTCAAATGATGTCTTTTTTTCATCTTTCTGCAACACTCCCAATTGTAGCAAATGCGCTAGGCATGATATATGTCACACCGCACTCTCTGATGTCCTACCTGTAGTGTGGCATTCTTTACTTCCTCTTCTCTATATCTGTTCAACCGTAGGAATGATAACCTTCAACTGTGTGGCTGTAGTAACACTCCCTTCCTAAAAACAGTCAGATTTCTATCTGTCTGCATATCTTTTTCAGTAATCCCAATCACCTAAGTCGCTTAGTAGGATTATACTGTGTTGGTTCTTAGCAAGTAGAGTTATGATACAGTCTAGTGCAGACCTAGTGTCAATCTTGTGCAGGCTATTAACGATATCATTCTTCTAATGAATATGCTGAGAAGAAATTTTCTAAATGGAGATTTAAGTCATAGGTTGTTGCCATTGTCGAGAAGCATACACAAAGTTCGTATTTTGCCGTTCGGCTATTCTTAACTATTACTCCCGTTCATTTTTATCCAGATTTCAGGAATACTGAAAGTGCTATATTTTGAAATTACCAGAACAGTGGCCGCATGTTTAGGAAACCTCCTTTAATCACGTCTGTTATTGGTAAGGTGTTTTTATACCGTGCTAGTAGCTTCCCATTCTGAAACGTTGTACGTCTTTTTCAAGTTTGTTTCTGATCAATGAAGTGAGAGAGGGGCATATTAAGGGAAGAAAATTAATTAAGTAGCTTGACTAATTAAAAATTTATTTGGAATAAAGGGATTCGCAGATGGATCCCTGAATATATGACGCGTATCTCGCTCTATGGAGATTATGATGAATGTAATATTCATCATAATCTCCATAGAGCGAGATACCATGCAGTGTCTGTTAGAATTACTTTTTTTTGGAGAGTCAAAGTTTATTTTTATAGCAAACTTTGTAAAATAGTTGGTAGTGAAGGGTTTTTGTCTTGTTTTTGAAATGCATGTTCCCATATCGGACGTGTCTTCCTAGAATTTGGATTTTATTTTTAATTTTTTTGAAAATTTCCTCCAATATCTTTTGACAATGGCTAACCTTGTATGGTTGTTATAGTTAAATAATAATTTGCTGTCTGCCACATATGATATCAAGAAAGCAGGAATTTATATCCGTGCTTTCTTGATATCATATGTGCAACACTAAAGAGACGAAATGTTTCATTTTTTGTTATAAATTTCTCAAAATACTCAAGTTGTTGCTGAAAAGGCTTTTTATTTTTCCAGACAGGTAGTGAACTGCTGGATTGATATGTCTGTTCCGGAGAGAATCTTGTCCCCTTTTTAATCATTTTTTTTATTAGTTTATTACAAACATTTAATTATGTTTATTTAGTAGCGAATTACTAAGCTTTCCATTATTTAAGAGTTGTCATTTAATAATAGTTTTTTACCCTAATATCCTGGCTGTTACTACAGATACGGCATGCAATGGAGTGACCCCCAAATGATTTATTTCCATCCTCAATCGGGCGGTATATTGCTGCAGCAACTTTTTATTTTTTTCGATTGATGTTCTCAATCGAGCGATCCCAGAATTTTCATTCCAGTTACATAACAGCACATTACAATATTAAATTCCTGATCCACAATAGTAGTTTCCATTGACTCCTGTTAATATAGTTTTAGATTACTGCAACCATTTCTTTAATAATAATTTGTTACTGATAGAGCGGATTTATTGATTTTTTGTTGAAGAGAGACAACATATAACAACGAGATGGTGAATTTTCATGAGTGGCGTTTCGGACTTGAGGTCTGTCAAGGGCGTAGCAATTTTTTCACCCTTTTTTATAATAAGCTCTTTATTTCAATGCGAATCAATGAGGTGTGGAAGTAGTGAAAGGTATTACTGTAGATTTGGCATAGTTCAAGCATATATATTCAATTTGAAGTTTGTCAACTTTGCCTAGTAAAAACTGTATAATTTGAATATGAGTGCCTTTACAGACCTCTATGAACTAATGCAGTTCATTCTATCGTCGCTTCATCCTTCGATCCTTATCCATTGTTAAGGTTCACGTAAAATCGATGTCTGTAGATGTTTATGAGTCTGCTTGTACATATGTCTGGACGTTTGGTGTGTTTCAGTATGTATCCATGTATGTTTGTAGATCTGTCCATACGCGCAAGTATGTATCCTAACGTGTACGTAGAGCATATATGACTAGATCTGGTAGTGCTTATCTGTCCGCTTTTTTGCTAGTTTAAGTGCATCGACTGGTTTGGTTGTTGGATGCGTCACTGATGAGTGTTGAAAATCCTCGTCCCACTTTCTGTACCGTCCGATGAGTGTATGGACTGGGGAAGTGGAATGCTTCTCCTACTGCGTCGTTTTGACTCTTTTTCTTATCCGTGCACACCTCATCGGTTTATTTATTCGGAGGAAGCATTATGTCTGTTACATTACGTGCGACTATACACTATATTGTAGTACTCTATATATATATACAGTATATATATATATATTTGTAAGCTGCAAATCTTTCACTTTGGTCGTTTAATTGCGGAGAAATTCCTTGGACAACGCTCTTAAATACCCTATTTAACCCTTGAAATTTTTGTCTTTAAGATTTAACGTTGAGAAATTGAGTAATATTGACTTATTAGATTTTAATGTTAAAAAATTGGATAAAATTTGATTATTTCATTTCTTAGCAAACCGGGGCATGATTGGCTCGCGTAAGGGACAGTTACTGGAGGAGCAAGAAAATTCGACTTCAGTACCAGCATGGCAACGAGCGAGCAGTGTACCAGCACATAAAAGGCCGCTTATTGTTTCTTCGAAGGGGTCTAGTAAGTTCGCATTAATTTCTAATTCATCTCTCGTCCACACAGCAGCAACAGATCTGGGGAAGCTTGCTGTGACTTTTAGTCCATCTGTCTTGTACGAAAATGTCACCTTGCACTGATGATATTACAGATGATGTGAGACACATCATGCGTCCTCTTCCTTAAGGAATCACAAATAACAAACAAAATTCTGCCATTTATTAACTTTTATTGTTTTTTCAGGCAGTGCTGGTTCTGTAAGCGATGAAGCTTTCCAGCGGGCGTTTACTGAGGTTCCAAAGTGTAACGTATGTGTTATGTATTTTTTTTTACTTGGTTGGATATATTACCTTAGATAAATCACAGACAAAGTTAACTATTCTAAAATGTAAAAGGGTCTCCTTGTTTTTTAGTGTGAAGAAATAAGTTCGACCTGACCTAAAGTTTGAAGTTTAAATTTTAATGCTTTTTCTAATTTGTCACTATAGTAAAAAATTTTTAATCAAAGCCATAAAATATATCACTTTGAAGATATCGAAATAAAAATTTTGAAAATATAGGTATTTTCGTCCAAGCAACTAAGGGATCAGATCAGCGATGCATGTGCAGTTCTTGAGAACACAGATTTAGATTGGAGTCGTCGTATGACTGCGGTCTGTTGTTTTCCTTCGCGAATTTCCAGTTTTCATGAAAGTTTTAGGTTTAGTGGGAGTGGGAAAACTTGCATGATTACGTTAGCACTATTTTTAAACAAAAAAAAATTCAAATTGCAGCTAAAAACATTGCGCGCAGTGATTATTGGCGGAGGCTTGGACTATTCGGACTTCGCAGAAGAAGTACGTGAAGTGCAAGCAGGTTTACTCACCTCCGTTAAAGATTTGCGGTCGCAGTTGTGTCGCGAAGCATGCGTTACCATTGCGTATGTTATCTTGTTGCTTTTGCAGTTCAGATGAAAATGTGTATCAACTACTTTCCAAAAAAATACAGCATAATATAAAAATATAATAAAAATATAGCACTCTTATCTGAAAAGTATTTTATTCATTTCCAAATTCTGTTCCATTCATATCTTACTAAAACAGTTTCTACCGTGGTTGTTTCGCTACGTCCTATATGTGCTTGAGATCACTTATTTTACTAGTTTTCCCGAATAAGTTAAATATATTAGCCTGATTAGCGAACTATCAGATCTCTGTAAAATTATGAACAAACTAGTGGAATAGATGCACTATAGATTATATGCTTGTTTCAGTTTTTACTGCGAAAGGTTGGGTCTTGTGATGGTTAGCGTCATAGATGCACTGATGCCAACGCTTATTTCATTAATGCAGAACAGTGCCAAGGTTATTACTTTTTTATGCCACGTATTTATCAAACTCAATCAAATCTTGTTCTTTAACGTATGCTCATTATTATATGCGTCTTTTCCAAGGTAATGGCAACAAGTGCGCAGCTTGCTTTACAGTACGTTATTAAGCATATATGCAGCGCCAGATTACTTCCTCATTTGCAGACTGCAATGTCTTCGAAGTCAAAGGAGATTAGAAGGTAAATTCAGTTTTTAAAATTTGAAAGATCGAAGTGCAATGTGTTTTTATTAAAAATTGGCAATTGAAATTAGTATCTTCAAAATTCCCAAATTCCACATTCTTTTAGGAATACGGCATCATTGTGTTTAATGGCGTTAACTCTTTGGGACAGCAAAATAGTAGAAAAGAACATGAACATTTTTTTGGAATGTATTAAGGTAAGAAAAAAATATTTAAAAAAATCTGTTCCCACTGTTTTACTATTGAATTGGGATAATGATTGATAAGAAATAAGTAGTTTTTTAGGCAAGCATAAATGATGCTGATCCAGAAACACGCAGAATTGGTCGCGGGCTTTTCATGCAACTAGATCAGGAATACAAGAAACAAGCTGATATGCTTTACAAAGTTAGTCATAACTTTATCTACAGTTCAAGTGTCTAGAACTGCTGCATTAAGTCCGAACCTCAGCTTTTTTCATCTCCAGCATCTTTAAACTACTAAAGCATAACATAAACAACTGAATCGAAGAATATTGGAACCAGCTTCAGGTATAGAAAATCACTTATTAAATATTAACGGTCAAAATTATTAACAAATCACACATCATTAATTCAGAAATAATATTTTTTTTAAGCACTTTTTCTATTAACATTTGGAAGGTGATTTTTGAATATCATGTTAATCTTGAGAGAAGTCATACATATTTTGCAAAATTTGTAGACTTTGGATCCATCAAGGCAGCGAACATTGTCTGGCTTCGTATCGCAATCGTCTTCATCACAATCAATTATTTCTGAACGAGACACTTTACCTATTTCACAACGAAATGCTGCTTATGTACTTCATAAAGGTATTGCTCATTGTCGACTTCTTATTATTCTCTTCTTTTCTACTTATGAATTGTAAGTTAAAAACTATTCGCTTGAAATGGGACTATATTAGACGTGATTGTTGATGGATTTTCGAGATGAAAATTTTTATGCAGTATCATGCCTTCTCCTAAAATAATTTCTGTTTTGAACTTTTGCTTTCAAAACATTGGAAAGTTCTTATGATAATTCCATTGGATTGATTACTCATTTTATTAATTTATTATGACTGGAAATTATAGCAAGTCCCGCATACTATGCTGGACGTTCGACGTCAGATATAGATCCTGGTGCAGTAAGGCGTGTTGCTCATCGTTCTGTACGAACAGCTCCTAAGTGGGGTGGGCCTCTTCAGCAAGTAAATGGGACCCCTTCAAGTAAGCTTTCAATTTCACAATCTCGTGTGTTTTTTTTTCATGTTCAAAAAAACCCACAAAAGTTCATCCGTACTAAATGTCTTTGATAAAATTTCCTTTTAATTTATAATAACTAAAAACATTCTTTGCATTTACAGCGACCCAAATGAGAACAACTGCTGCGCAACGTTTATCTTCAGCATCACAGAAGTTCGTTTCATCGTTACGGCGTATACCGCCGACACCAACGAATTATGTTAGATCTCAGCGTATGTTTTTTCTTTTAGTGATAAAATCGGAAGCAGAACAGGTCAAAGACTGCATTTTTTTTGTATAAAATACTGCCATTTTATGGTTATGGACACCTGTATCTGCGGTCAAGAAAAAGTTAAATAACTTGTTAAAATTTTCAGCCGGTAGTCGAAGCACATCACCAGCTTCTCGTTTCCCTGCACGTGTTCCTCCTCGATCACAAGTGAGCAGCAGAACGGTAATAGATCTATGTTTTAGGCGTTTCAGTAGCTAGATCTTTAAATTTTGTTTACGGAATTTAAATCCAACAAATATTTTGGCAAATAATTGGTCGAAAATTGGTGTCAAAGTTTTCAGAAAATCCAGGTAGACGAATCAGAAGACCACGCTTCTGTTAGCAGTGATTCATTTAGGTATGTTTCTTGCGAAATCTTTTAATACTTTTTGTTCTCTCTAATTGGGGGTAGAAGTAGATGTGCTTTTCCAATATTTTGATTTAGAAAGATTTAGTAAATCGATCAAGACTCAATATTTTTCAGATGTCTTATCAACTTTTATGAGGCTTTTATTCAGTGAAATGTTATAAAATTCAATAAAATCTCCATAACAGGTTTGAGACAATGGAGTTAGCAACTGCACTTTCTTGCTGTGGCTCGTCGTCTACTACAGAGAAGAAGGAAGGCTTAAAAGCACTGTTCACTATTATTTCAAGTGAAAAACAGATTAATACAGTGGATTTGAAAAAAATTATTGAACGTTTAAATCCACTGATTGGTGAAGGTGCTCATAAAGTAGGTGATTTTAAATTTTCCCACTGAGCTGTTATATGGAAGTGATCGAATTCCTAAAAAAACTTCTAAAAAGAAAGATCGTTTAAATTACTTGTTTTATTATCATTTGTTAGTTTGATCAAAGAACAACAATAAGAATTGATAGCCAACATGCTTTTCAGTATTTCCTTGTTTTCCGGGAATTAAATTTATTTTTATTCCAGCTTTTGCAACCTCTTGCCGATACATTGATAGCTTTGATACGTCGTTACCATGAGGAGCTGAACGATTGGTTGAATTTGTTAATACCAAAACTAGTAACGAAGTGTTCTACGGATGTTCTGCCTAGTAATCTGGAAAAATATCGAATTATGACGGAAATTGTACGGACAAGTTTTGATCCAGAAAAGCAATTGCACGCTGTTTGCAAGTTTATCCGTGATCCGGTGCGAAATAATGTTAATGTCAAGGTAAAACATGTTTTGAGGTAAAACGAAGGAATATGGAGATAATAAAATGCTGTCACTTGTAGATTCGGATGGTTTTTTCAAATTTGCAATTCTTCAATCTTAATTCAGGAACGAAATTTGTAGATAAAGTATGGATTGCTGATGTACTTGCATGATTTAATGTGTGGCATGGATTCAGCTCCATCGATGAACCAAAGCGAAGTTCGACAAGCAGTTAGTAAAATATTCCAATGGGTAGACGATCCAAAAAACATTTGTTTGATGGCGGTATTATTTTTGGATTTGCAAATGTATTTCTTGGTCTTGTTGCAAAATTTACTTGTATTCTCTCTGTTTTCGATTTTCCCATTGCTTAAAGCTGATGTGTTGTTAATTTACCTTGAAATTCAAAATTACATTTCACTGTTTATTTTGCTTATTATTATACAGTATTTCTTTTTGAAATGTCCCGACTTCAAATTTTGAGTACGATGAACTGTAGGAAAAAAATCCAGAATAATAAGCTATAATCTCGTCAGTGTTACTTTGGTTAAGGCCAGAATTTTTTTTTTAATCGCTGTTTTACTCGAGTTAGCTTCGTACTTTAATATCTCAAATTTACTTCAATTGGAATTTGTGTCCTTTTTTTAGATCAGTGAAAAAATCGTGTGTGATATGTTCCATCTAAATGCGAGTGATTTCACTTCGATGCTTGCTACTTTTCCAAATGATCTGAAAGATCGGTTGCGAGCTATTATTCGTAAAAATAGCTTTTGTTTATCAGCTAGCAATGGGATCAAGTATGTTTTAATGATTTTTCATTCTGAAGGGAGGAAAGCTAAAGATACTTAACATTTCACTTCTAATTTTGCTTCTGGAATGTATTTACACGCTGGTTCCACTGAATGGACATTTTTTGATCTGGTCATCTTTCAGTGATATATTTGAGTTGTTTCGAATATTTTTTCTTAAGTCAGTGCCGGAGCGCATCAGAAATAGAATTTGATGTGTAAATTCTTTCAGTTTTTGCAAAAGTTTCACTGTTTCAGCACAAACGAAGCACGTGCGGGTATATTAGAAACAACAGCACAGGTGTGCACTTGATTTTTCCCATAAATAATCGTTTTTAATGTGGGTCTGATTCTTCAAAATGTCCGTTTATAGATGACAAAGTTGATTTATTGGGATGTAGAATCTTTGCAGTTTGTTTGTAGATTAATGATTTTGTTGATCGGCGAGCAGGTTTACCAATGTCACCTTCTCGTGCATCACCTCAGCTGATAAATGGTTTAGTTCGCAGCTCGTATGATGGTGTTCCATTACGACGTTCAAGCAACGAGGATCAGAGTGGAGTTCGTTTACCGACTTGTTTCGTTGATTCTTGTTTTAATTGTAATTTTATTACTGTCAGTGTATCAGCTTACAGCTGTTGTACACTATGCCGTTCAAACTGTTGAATTGTTCAATGGCATCTTTTTCACACTGAGGTGTTAGATAGAATTTTTATGACCATTTTTTTTAATTATTGAGTGGTTTCCAGTCGTTATCTGGTTATATCTTGGATCCACAAGGTCTTGCAAATGATCCGGAACAACAGGAAGAGTTAATAACCAAGATAGGCGAGGAACTTTCGCTTCATAACCAAAGGTCAGTTTTTTTCTAAGAACCTGCATTTTCATAATCTTCAAGAAAAATTCCTTCATTCAAGAATTGCTGACTTTTCTTCATTGCTAATCTTATTTCTGTTTGAAAGAAAACTTCACTTATGTTTGTACGGTTTGTAGAAGTGAAGAGCGGCAGAGGGCGATGTTGGTACTGTCACAGATCACGCGTGATAATTTATTTTCCCTTTGGGATAAGCATTTTAAAATGGTATTTTTATTGCTCATTGAAACACTCAAGGATAATGATGAAAATATCCGTCGAATGGCATTAAAACTTTTGAAGGAAATTTGGTACGAATAGTTTTCCGATATATTTTAAAAGCAGCTTTGAATTTTTAGTCTTTTATACTGTTCCATCTCTTTTTAAGCTTTTATTTTCTAACTTTTGAACTTTATATGAAATTTAAATATGGATAAATTGTTGATTAGTTCTTGAAGCCACTTCGTTTTTTCAAGTTACGCACAAGCTTCTCGTTTCAATGAATTCGCGGAAATGGCGCTGATGCGTGTTCTCGATGCTTGTACGGATGAATCGAAACTTGTGAGTGAAATTCTTTCCATTAAAATGCCTTAGTCACTGCAGCATGTGCAGACACCTATCTTGTTAATTAAAGTTATCAAGTTTCACACTGAGTGCATGAGCGAAGCATAAAATATTATCAAACCATTCAGTGCAAGGAATGTAACAACTGCAACTGGCGCTGATGTGTTTGATTTGCTGTGTAACATTTAATAGCTGTAACAGCGTTTTCCCTTTTATTCAAAGAAAAGAATTGAGAATTAAAGGAAAGAATTTTATTTAAAGAAAAGCTATTTGGCTATTAAGAATGGGTATTTTGATGGCAAAAAAAATCTAAACATGTATATTTGACATATCCTGAATGTTGTAATAAGTAGGATGTGATTTCATTATGGTTCTTTTAAAATTTATTTGATAATGGGATTATTATTTGAGGTGGTAACGGCAGCAGAAGAATGTGGCGTTGTGTTGGCTACTCATGTTTCATCTGCAACATGTCGGCGAGTGCTCCTTGCCATTATTAAATCGGATGTTGGCGAGCCGAAAATTCATATTGCTATCAAACTGTTAACAAAAGTGATTGAGTCACTTAGTGCTACTGAGTTAGAGTTGATCCTGGATGAAGTGGCGCCACCAATTGTTGACGTTAGTTTTACGAACTCTGGTATTCTAATAGGTCGGGACTTTCACAGCTTGTGGAAAAATTAGTGAAAGCTAATTTTTATGCGCGTAAGTTTGGTTTCCGTGATAACATTTTTCGTTTGCACATATGTGGCATTTTTAAAATTCCAACAGCTTCTCATATATTTTCTAATGCTTGTTAATATTTTCTTTCCAGACCTATAATTATGTGAGTAGTTCAATTCGTAAAGAAAGCGTTGTATGCTTGGTGGCAATGATTATGCTTGTAGGAGAGGAACGCATGGCACCATATTTGTCGGAACTTAATAAAGGAAAAGTAAGTTTCTTCCTCTTCTTCTCTTGTAAATCTGAAAATCTATGTATTTCAAACAGCATTGAGTGTTTTTGAAGTGGTTGAGGCAAAGGAAGGAAAACTGACTCAGTGCTTGTTTGGTTGGCCTGGTAACTTGTTAGCTGATATTATAATTAGTTTAACAAAGATTTAGTTCTGTAGATAAATATAAAAAGATTTTTTATAGCAGAAATTGATAGACGTTTATGTGAAGCGTATGAAAGGAATATTCGAATGACGGGACTAAAAAATTTGCGGTGTATCTGTGCATTGTGCTTGTGCTTTCTTCTGATTGTCGTAGTGTTGCAAAGCATTTTTAAAAGTTGTTGTTGAGTTGTTGAAAGCTGCTTGAAAAGCACTGCAAAACAGACTATTCCTATAATTGAGAGTTCATGTTTTGATTTTTCAAATTTCGTTGACAGGAAAAAAATTCTGTGGAAAGTACTTTGCAACTTCTTCTAGTTTTTGCTTTCTTAATTACTCCAGCTGTAAATGTGACTTTTTATAATTATTCTAGACGTAAGTTATTGTTATAGTAGAAAATCGAAAATTGAGATGATCTGAATTTCATGACTCTTAAATAACAAGGTGTGTTTAGTGAGTAGGTGTTATGTTCAATGTCTTTGTATTAAATTATTCTTAACCGTAATTAATAGTGCTACCCTCTCACTTCATCACCTTTTATTTTTAATTTTTACTGGAGATTGTGAAATTTCAAGCACAAATTCATGTTTTATTCTTTCACTGTTGCATTTGATGCTATGGATACTGCTGTTAACGGGCTCTTATTGAGTTCATTATTTTATTTTCGCAAAGTTTCAAAAGAAACTATTCCCCAGTTACCATTATGTATTGTATTTCCCAGTTATTATTGTATACTGTATTCCTCAGTTGTCATCATGTATTGTTATTCCTGAAGAAAAAGGTGATTTGAGATTTTTAGTAGGATTTGGATATTCTGATTAATCATATGAAATGTTTTACTTTGTAATCCTTTATATACTTGACAGGTCTGTGAATTTGGTATTTCCCAAAATAAAATATCCAAGAGACAGTTGATACCATCAACTATCGGTCAACTAAAATGCATAGGGGAAGGAGAATTAGGTTTTATTTCTTCATCTTTAAAGTATTGTGTCAAAATTTCACGAAGTTGGTATTGGGCACCGTGAGTGCCTTATTGAAATTAGGTGCGACCTTTGAATCCAATTTTGATTTTCGTATGCAAGGATGAAGTTTCAGAAGGCTCGGGTTTCTTTTCTAATATTTTGTAGAGGAAGAAAGAAAGGATGGCTGTTATATTTCTATCATTGATGTTCCACATTCCAATAACTCAATCCTCTCTGTACCTTTTGCAAAGTTAATTCAAATGAAATGTCTTGAATAAACTTCCAAAAGAGGTGAAAGAGAGTTAGTAAAGAGTGTTTGTATCTTTCTCAAGGCTCTCCGTTATCTCGAAGGAGGAATCGTCTTTGTTCAGGCAGCTTGTTTCATCTGGCAGTTTTACACAAACCTCCTGTAAGTCAACGATACCGGCATCGTACCATAGTTCTGGTCGACCATACTTTGTTATGAATTCATGTGGTATCAGTTGTTTGTAACGTTGACGACACTGAAGATTTGAATTATATTTCAGAAAATAATGCTGGGAAGGAAGAAATATTGGTTGAAGTAAGCTGATTGGATGGGATATATTTGCTGAAAATACTTAGATATTGTTTAGTCAGAAGGTTCATTATGATTAGGGATTATCAAAATGATACCTTGATTCCGCTGGACGGGCTAATATAGACATGAAGGAACGGTCTAACATTATCTGCTGATATAATAGTTGCTTTCAACTCGAACCATCCCGTTATGTTTGTTCTAGCAATCGCCAAAATCTGCTCATCCACTGGAAACATAATTATAATCAGCGAAAATACTTTGTCTCACCCGAAATTTCGCAATTCAGGATATAAAAGAAAATATTCTGCTTTTGTTTGGGGAGCACGCCAAAGTATATTCCATGTGAAGTGAGAACTACAGAGTAAATTTAGCTAATAATATTTCACTCCTGAAACTACAGTAAACGTCAAATGAAACAACCGATAAGGGAAGAATTCCTGGATAGCAAATTTTCATATTTCTCAAAAAACCGGAAAAATATATTGAAGATCAACCTCTATTTTAAAATAATCAATAATTAAAAACATTTAACAGTTAACGATAATTATTTAATATTCGGAGAAAGATTAATCATAGAGCCGATGCAACTTTTCTCTCCCTTGAAGCAAGACTTATTTCACAAAGTTTGGGTTACAAAAAATTCACTCGAATGAAACAAACCGAATTCGATATCTATGCCTAAAACAACTTTTGTGTTGACCACATTTTTCTGACCGCATTTCAGCTGTCCTCGAATTGCTATACTTTGCATCATTTCGAGAATTCTACTGGATTCCGATAAGATATGGAATAATGTGAATAATAACACTGAGTACTGGAACATTGTTTCCTGAAATTGATAGAATTGATGAGAATCACAAAATCAATACTGGTCTTGACTTCTGTAAAAAAAAAAAATGCTGGTTTCGAGTGTTGTGTATGTTTGATACTGTTTATACATTATTTACCTGTTTGTACATTGTCACTTCCATGGCACTGCCCCTAAACTATTGATTACAGTTTAAGATCTCTATGGCTCAGAGAGTCAAATAAAGGTCAGGTTGTCTTCCTTCCTTAGCTTCTGAGTTGTTCCCTTCCTTTAGTATTTGCTTATCATTGTCAATTTTAAAGTTTCGGCATATGTGCAAAGTGAATAAATTTCATTAAATTCGAGACATCAAACCAAGTTGATTAAAAAAGTGAAAAGAAAGCAACTTTTGATAAATTGTTCAGTTTTATTAACTGTGTATGTGTATGTCTGTTCAGTAGTAATGGTGTATGCGGCAAATTTTTTAAGCTCTGTTTTATGAAAGCTATTTGCTCTCTACTTATAGCATCATCAATTATCCAAACCTCAGACATACACTTTTGAAGTGTTTTAGTTTCTGGAACATGTTAATATTATGCATGAAGTGAATATAAAACGTATGTAGCATGCCTATAAAATCTTAAGGGATTTTAGGAATGAAAGACGCTCGTAGCAACAGAACTTAAACACATTTGCGAATGATGACGAATGACATTGGGAAGTTGTTGATTTGAGAGAGGAAGAATGTCAAAAATTTATCATTAAACAAAAATCAATCAGAGATGATGAAAAGAGCTTTACTCTCTCAACTCGTTTATGTGATTTTAGAAAAGACTTCGAATGCTCGTTTTTATTTCTGAAGACTTTTAAATTGGTTCGCAAAGTTTGCTCGTCTAGCGGAATTAATTCATTTGCAACTTTGATAACAAATGCTTATTTCAACATTAGTCCAAATTATTTCTCTAGATTTAATTAATTAATTGCATATGGAATGCATATTATAATATGTTATGTGACGATTTCATATGCTGATGATGTCGTATCTTTGGTCTCTTCTGTCCACTGAAAAATAAAAATAATTTCAACTTTTGTAGAATGCTCTTATTTGTATAAAAAAATTAATCCTGCGCAATTGGCTTAGTGAAGATGTGGCTGACAAGCATGCATTTTATATGCATTTGAATTGAACTGGTACAAAAACTATTCGTTTTTAATTGATAAGCATAAAGATGTCAAAGCATTTTCAATATATCAGTAAATGTCATACTCGTCAGTTTCAGCTGACTTCTTGTGCATCCGTAACTTTTGTCTTTTTTTTCGTCTATGATGCTTCTTTTGCTTTCTCTTGGTCTGGAAAATTTACTTTTAAAATATAAAACATTAGCTAAAAAGTGGTAATGAAATGAAATATTTGCATGAAAGAGTGTTTTGTTCAGAATCGAGTAACGATTGCGCTTACAGAAAGAAAAATTAACTTTCTCTCTTATATTCTACAGAGATATAGAGCAAAACAACGATGGTCAGAAAGTGTTTAAGCTAAGAGAAGCAAAATTTATGGAAGTAACATATAGTTTGGGCTAAAATACCTGAGAAATTAAAATCCGTGAGGGTTCATTCAAGTCATCCAGGTCATCTTTCGAACTAGCTTTCTCTGCAGAATGTACAGCAGTATTTAACCTTGATTGAACTTCAGATTCTTCCGAATGTGCATGTTCTATTACATCTTCAATTTGTTTTACAACCTGTAATTCGCGTTTTGAACATTCAAACGATTAACAATGGAGGATATATAGAATCTAATTGGAAATTAAATAATCAAAAGATTAAATGGAAAAATTACAAAAATTACTAGGAAATAAAAAGTTGAAAGTTTATTAAAAATTATGAAAACAGCCAATGATTAAAACCACTTTAAATAACAAATATATTTCTGTTTACCTTGATACTTAAGAAAATCTTTGTTGTTCTTTTGAGCGGGAAAACTTATTGAGTAAGTTGAATATCACTGAAGAGAACCACTACATCTTCCCAAAAATGGAGACATTTTGAAATTTCTAGTAATCGATTGAAATGAAATCATTGGATCAACCTCTGACATGGAGAATCGATTATCCGGATTTTGCTCCCAACATTTCCTCATTATTTGAAATATGGAATCTGGACATCCTTCCGGTTTTTTCAAACGCTCGCCGCATGAGATCTGCGAAAAGAAAAATATTTACATTAATGTCTTATCAATTATTATCTGAATATTAATAGCATATTTTGGATGAGGATAAATTTCTCTCGGCATTTTAATAAAAAACGAACCATTCGTTTTACTTCAATACTTGTCATCCCTTTGTACGGTTCGTCGCCATCCGAAAAAATTTCCCATAGCAGAATACTAAACGAGAAGACATCCGTTTTCGGTGTATACTGATATGCTACCATACTTTCCGGTGCCGTCCATCTCAATGGCACTTTTTTGTTCCCTCTTGACATCTCATAAAAATCACCATGCCTTGACATTCCGAAATCACTAATTTTCGCTACCCGATTCTTCGTATACAACACATTACGAGCCGCAATATCCCGATGAATGATTTTTTGTGCGTGGATATATTCAAGACCACGAGCTGAGCCTAGTGACATGTTTTCAATTTTTTCATCCTCATCAACATTCCCTTTCCGAGATTCCAGTACATCTGACAAGCAACCACCATTCACCTGTAAGCAGCAAGAATTCATTACGGTCTTGGATTTCCTGTCTTTAACAATATATCACCACTATAGTCATTTTAGAATTTAGCTATAAATTATTATTAAACCATTTCAATGATGATCATCAATGGTTCACGGCAAACAGCAACTCCAAGAATTTTCACAACATTTTCATGATTAAAATATCGCATTAGTCTTGCTTCATGCATCATCTCTTTTATTTTTTCCTTGGCCTGTTGTATGTTCTTTTTATCCTTAATTGTTTTTGCCTAAAATATGCAACAAACCTGAAGAGAGATCAGATAATTTGTCTACCGTAGTTATAAGCTAGCAGTAGAGCTCAGATTTCAGGACCATTTTAGCACTTTTCTTATAAATGCTTCAAAATTATGAAGTTATTAAATAGAACTAATTACTTTTCTTGCTTTTTTTTCAGTTACTTTTTTCACCCTTTAATTGGGAGAATATTACTTTTAGCTTTGTAGAATCATAATATAAAAAGTTTGTGGAGAATTTGAAACAGTTACAATTTTGACAGCCACTGGCACTTTTTTACCATCAATTACTGCTTCACCTGCGTGAACTTCACCAAACTGTCCTTCTCCAAGCATATTTTTTAGTATAATATTTTCATGTAAAAATTCCCATGTTTGTCGTGAAACTGGACGAATTAACTGAGATGTTTTTATCTATAAGAATGGAAAAGTGAATTCACTCATCATATAAAACAAGAACTTATGCAGTATTTTAAAAAAATATGCAAAATAGTTTTTAGGATTTTTAGATTTTCAAATCAACGTTGATCTTCTTAAGTTTATGACGTCTGATGTATATAAAAATAAACCCAAAATTCAAAGCTTTTGGGAAATTCAGAGGGGCGTATCTCTTGCTTCTATTTAAATATAATTTAAAAAATCTTCACTTCTTGTTTGACATCACCAAATCAGAGGAAGATTGAGTAGTATACCTCAGGATTGATTGGTTTCTTGCTGCAGACATATGCGTCAATGAGTTCTTTAAGAGAATTAAATCTATTTTCTTGAGTTGTCAACCATTCAATTTTGCCATCTTTCCTTTTCAGCCTATGTATTATTACATGTCTAATCTATAATTTATCTTAAATTTAAATTGAATTTCAAAATTGGATCCATGGCTTATTTCAGAGCGACAGCTCACAAAAAAGGTCAGTTTTATGATACTATCATTTGGTATTCTTAATTACATGCAAATAAATTATGATTTAGTTCAAAATTATGCAATTTGAAGTTAAGCATCAGAGTTGCCATTTGGATTAAAAAAAAAAAAGAAACAATCATTTTGGACTTACTGCAGATGGTGAATTTTGGTGAGAAACACGCAGAGACAAAATAAGTTCGCATGGATCACCGGTTTTCAGTTGAGTAATTCGAACTATGAAATCTCCCACCTAAGACGTAAAAGTCATTTTGTGTTAGTGGATTCAGTGAAACAATTAATTGCAATGTTGGAGCCAAAGGCCATTGACAAACGTAAATAGAAGAGGAGATTGCTGACAGTTGCACTACTCAAGTTAAAGATTAGAGAAGAATAAAAACAATGGGTTAAATAACCAATTAATTTAATTTAATTAATTAGTATCAAAATTTGTTTCAAGCCTAATTATATCCCTGCCATTAAATGGACAACGAGAAAAAATATCTTAAAACAATAACCTGTTCTAACAGACATGGGAGATCTTCACGAGGAAGGAATCCAAACAGATATTTATTTGCATGATCCGGTTTAACGGATCGAATTTGCACATTTGTCGGTTAAAGTCTTCCTTTTCCGTCATTGCAACTCTATGATTCAAAATCATGATTGTATCGAT